TCCTCTCTCTGCCTCCCTCCCTGTACTAACTGCACTGTGAACTGAAGCAGAAGCCCACACATCTCATTTGATCTTAGCTGGAGGGAGACTGGCTTTAATTACATGAGGCTCAGCCATTGGAAAGTGTACATTCCTTTCCTTCCTCTCTCCCGTCTCTCCTTGCTCACCCAAGGGTTGCTCTCGTTTCTATGAGCACACCAGGATCAAGCCTGCAGGGACAGAAACAGCCACCCAGGGTGTCTGCATTGCCACATGCAAGTACTGAGTGCCTGGAAGCTAAGTATACCTGGGTAACTTCTGCTTGCCCTTCTCTTTGGAAAAACTATAGTTCTGTTAAGTTTTAGGAGACTGAGCACTGAGCTCATAAATCTGAAATCTGACCTACTTTCCCCTCAAAGCATCTTCCCATATGCTTCTGTCATCCCAGCTCCTTGGCCTTGTTTCATCTGCCTCATTGGCAGGTGACTGTGTCTTTGCTGACTACAGGCTACTTTTTCTCTCCAGCTGTGAGACCCTTCATTTCTCCCTCTTCCTACATGTGACCTTCTCAGAGATGCAGAAACCAAAAGATTGTTTGATGGCCTCCAAGCACAATGTACAAATCTCCATGCCTGCCCTGATTCTGTCCATCAACCTGTATTAAGTAAAGACATAGAAAAGGCATGATGTCTGATCTTGAGTAAAGCAAAGCCTGATGAAAAAAGTCAGTGAAAGCAACATGTGATTAGCTACTCTTCATCTCCCAACCTTGGGCCTTTGCACATGCTGGTCTTCCAATCTGAGCACAGCTTTTTCTGCCTAGCTTGTCTGCTGACATCCTTGGTATATACTCTGGGACACAGACATGTTTTCCTATAATTCTTGACTTCTCCAACTTTTCTTGCCCTGCACTTTTCCTAGTTGCTCTCACGACTACTGTGATATGAGTTCATTTTGTGGTTGCTTATTTAGTGCCTGTCTTCCCATTAGACTGAAAGTTACCTGAGGACAAAGGCATGATCTTCTGTTTTCTGCATTTGATAGCCAGGGATTAGCAACAAGTCAGGCACACAGTGGACACCCGGTAAGTGTTCATATACTCGTCATAATGTAATAAGGATGGCACTTCACTTTTGTGGTTTGCCCCCAGAAGACCCATTATCCCAGTCTAGTCTTTAAAAAAAGCATCGGACAAACCCCAACTGAGGGTATACATAGAGGTGAATCAACTATTGGAATCGGAGGCTTCAACACCCCTCTATCAGTAACTGATAGATCCAGCAGGCAGAAAGGATGTAGTCGAATGGAGGAGCACCATCAATTAACTGGACCTAATTAACATTTATAGAATAGTGCATCCAACAACAGCAGAACACACTTGCTTCTCAAACTCACATGGAACATTCACTAAGATCGACCATAAAACACACTTTCACACATTAAAAAATTGAAACTGTCCAAAATATGCCCTCAAACCACAAAGAAATTAAACTAGAAATCAATAACAGAGAAATAGCTGGAAAACCCCAAAATACTTGAAGATCAAGCAAGGCAGTTCTAAATAGCACACAAATCAATGAAGAACTTTCAAGAGAAATTTCAAAATATTTCAAACAAAATGAAAATTAAAATATAACTTACTAAAATCTGTGTAATGCAGTGAAATCAGTGCTTAGAGGGAAATTTTTATCACTGGATGCATATATGAGGAAAAAATAGATATCTCAAGCAATAACCATGACTTTCATCTACAGAAACTAGAATAAGAAGATACAACTAAATTTAAAGTTAGCAGAAAAAAAGAATAAAGATTAGAACAAAAGTCAATGAATAATAATCAGGAAATCAATAAAGAAAATCCACAAAACCAAAAGCTGTTTCTTTAAAAAGATCAAGAAAATTGTAAATATCTAGCCAGGTTAACTAAGAAAAAATGGAGAAGATGCAAATTAGTAATGTTAGAAATGAAAGAAGGGGCATCACTACAGATCTCATGGGCATTGAATGGATAATAAAGGGATATTATGAACAATGCTCTGTCTACAAATTTGGTAACTGTGATGGTTAATTTTGTATGTCAACATTACTAGGCAATGGTGTGCCAGTTAGTTAGTCAAACATTATTTAGGGTATTTCCGTGAGGGCGATTTTGGATGAGATTAACATTTAAATCAGTAGACTGAATAAAGCAGATTACCTTCCATAACATAAGTTTCAATCAGTTGCAAGCCTAAACAGAACAAAAAGGCTGACCCTCTTTTGAATAAGGGAGAATTCCTCTTGCCCGGCTGCCTTCGAACTGGGACATTGGTTTTTTCTTGCCTTTAGACTCCAACTGAAACATCAGTTCTTTCTGAATCTTGAGCCTGCAGACCTTCAGACTGGAACTACACCATCATCTCTTCTCATTCTCAGGCTTTCAGACTTGTTCTGGAACTATACCATTGGCTCTCCTGGGTCTCCAGCTTGCTGATTCCAGTATGTCAGCCTCCATCATTGCATGAGCCAATTTCTGATAATAAATGTCTGCATAGATTAGGTAGTAGGTAGAGATAGATAGATAGATAGATAGATAGATAGATAGATAGATAATGGATAAGATAGATAGATGATAGAGATAGATTTGTATCTCTATCTAGTTCTATTCTATCATCTATCTATCATTTTCCTAACTATCTATGTGTCTGTCTATCTATCATCTATCTATCCATCCATCTATCTATCTATCGATGTGACCTTGGATTTGGCAATTACTTTTTAGGTAAAATACCAAAAAACAAGATACACAGAAAACCAGATTGAGAAGTTGAGCATCATTAATATTGAAACTCCTACTCTGTTAGAAGTACTATTAAGAGAATGCAACGATAAATTACATACTAGGAGACCATGTTTGCAAAACACATATCTGACAAAGGGCTGCTATCCAAAAGTATAAATAACTCTTAAAAACTCAACAATAAGAAAGCAAATAGCCTAATTAAAAAATAAGGCTAAAGACTGGGACACCTACCTCACCAATCACGATGTGCAAATGGTGAATAAACATATGAAAAGATGGTCACCTTCATATGTCGTTAAGGAATTACAAATTAAAACAATGAGCTACCACTACACACTATTGGTTAAAATTCAAAGCACTGACAATGTCAGATGCTGAAGGGGATGTGGAGCAACAGGAACTCAATTATTGCTGGTAGGAAGGCAAAAGTGGCAAAGCTACTTTGGAAGACAGTCGGCAGTTTCTTACAAAACTGAATACACTCTAACCACGTCCTCAAGCTGTCATGTTCTTTGGTCTTTACTCCCATGAATTGAAAACTTATGTCCATACAAAAACCTGAACATGAATGTTTACAGACCTGCATTCATAATTGCACAAACCTGGAAGCAACTGATTTGTCCTTCAGGAGGAGAATGGATAAATAAGCTCTTGTACTACAATGGAGTTATTCAGTTATTCAGTGATAAAAAAAAAAAGAGTATCAAGCCATTTTTAAGAAGACGTAGAAGAAATGGAAATGCATATTACTAAGTGAAAGCAGACAATCTGAAAAGACCACATACTGTGTCATTCCAACTATATGACATTCTGGAAAAGACAAAACTATTGAGACACTAAAAAGTTCATTGGCTGCCGGAGGCTCAGGAGGAAGTAGGGAGGGATGGGTAGGTGAGGCAAACAGAATTTCTGTAGCAGTGAAACTATACTGTATGACACTATAATTGTGGCCACGTGTCAGTATATTTTTGTCAAAACCCAGAGAATGACAGCACAGAGTGACCCCTAATATAAACTATGGACTTTTATTTAATAATAAGGTATCAATTTTGGTTTATCAATTGTAACAAATATACCACATTAAAGCATGATGTTAATAATAAGCCAAATTAATAAGGAGGGTAACAGGATAGATGGGAACACTCTGTATTTTTTGCTTAATTTTTTTTAAATCTAAAAGCTGCTCGAAAAGTTTATTAATTAAAATAAATAAAACAAGATATTTATTAACAACAAATCAAATAGGAAAACCTGTCCATATGACTCTCCCCTCTCCCTATGGCCATGGCATAGACTTTCCTCTGCTCCCTGCAGTGAACATTCCTCCCCAGGGCTAGGGAATGAGTGACAAGGAAGGTTTCATGATCTCAGCTAATGGCTCCAGTGACGGATATTCAGGCTCGTGCATTACTTAATGCATTGAAATCCCCAGAACTTTTGATCAAAAGTGAATAGTGATTTTTTTTTCAGATCTGACAGTGGCTTGAGGTTGTGGGGACTTAGTGAGGCGAATCCATGGCTTTCTTGGGGAGGGAAATTCTTCTGTATTGATCTGGGGAGTGAGATTCGGATGTCTAGGCAGTACTGGATTTGTAATCTGAGAAAAAAAAAAGAAGTGAATCTATGCCCAATACACACAGAGTCTACTTTGGCATTTCCCCTTAGATGCCTCAGAGACCAGGGGAAAAGCCTCCAGAACCATTTTTACTGAAGCCCAAGAAGAGATCCAGGCCCTACACTGCATTTTCATTTGGAATCTATTTTTTCTCTTCTTCATCAACGCTTATTTATGTGCTACTTGAATAGTGATTTTTCTTTTTACTTAACGTGTCCAATTTTGTATCACTTGCTATTGGATTTGGAATTGCCCACCTGGTCATAGGCTGTGACTTCTATCCTCCAAACACCCTGTTGTGTGGTATATGGGACCAGGCCCTCCCCACTCAGACCACAGGGACACACCCATTATGGTTCTCTTCAGTGTTCCTGTTATCCAGGGACAGTGAGGGTTAGCACAGCTTGTAGCAAAGGTCAACATACACAGGGCTTGATACCTGGGGCTGACATGACAGAACTTTTAATAAGCCTTTAGGTTATTGTGCTGGTAGAAGGTTGATTACACTGGATTGTAATCATCTTTTCTTTTCCCTCAATAGGATAGGTCTACAAAGAGGCTGGACCACAGAGACTGAGATTTTGGAGAAATAAACATATGAGATTTTTTTAAAAAGCTCATTTGCATGAAAATTTTAGGAACCAGGCAAGATAATCAAATATTCAGGATAGTTTGGTGCAAATAAGAAGGTAGACCCCTAACTGACCTCTAATGTGGTCCTTTCCAATCTGGTTACTGGCACTCCCACTACCAATCACTGATAACTCACACTAATAAGACCTCTAAAACCATCTCCTTTCACCTTCTTTTATAGGTGAAGAAACTAAAGGTCAGAGAATTGAAGGGACAAATCTCAAAGAAGCACAGTCAAATGGAAAAACCAAGAGTAGAATCTGGGTCTTCTGGCTCCCACCAGCGCTCCTCCTGCTACCACTTGGCCCCCTGAATCACATGATCTCTGAGGAGGGAGGAACAGGACTTCTCAGGGCAGGTGAGGCTGTAGGCCAGGATGCAGTGTGGTCAGCAGTCCCCAAGCCCAGGAGTAGGGTTTATAAAGCAAAATGTGTTGCTGGCCTCTATTAACATAAGGCCAACCAAATGCAGAAACTGTGGCTTTAGGGGTGACACGAACTACGGTCAAAGAAATTTTGAGATTTACTGCCCTGAAAGGTACCGGATCTTGTTGAGGCCAGGAGCGAGGCTAAATACTAAATTACGTGAAGCTAGAATGTACTAGCTGCTTTTGCGTGATTTGTATGAAATGCTCTGCAAACTTGAGGTGCAAACATAGACACAATTATTTAATTTTTTCAATCAAATATTGACACTTGAAATACTGTTTGTAGTAAATTCAGTATATCATTTAATTTTCTAAGGCTTTCTTTATGAATCGTCTGAGAATTTTCTAGGGGATTTGAAGCTGATGAGAGTAAGTTCTGTTTCCACACATAGCTGTTAGAACAAAGGCATGATCTCTGCATCTCACTGCCACATGGTGTCGCTGTTAAACACTGGTTCTGTGTTGTTTTCAGCCTGAGGGTTGCTGCTGATGTGGTCCTGCTGGGAGTCAGTGTGGCCCAGCTGCCTGCACTTAATATGATCATTTTTCAGGGAGAATGAGCTATCCTCTGAGCTGAGCCTGGCTTGAGCTATCCACCTGCCTCTGCAACTTGATGCATGGAATCCCAGGGTACGTGGTATTGTCCAGGGTGCTAGTTGGTGCCAGAAGTCAAGGGCAGAACTTATACACTGACTCATGGATCTAGAACCACAGTCTACTTCTCAGAGATCCATCCTAGGGAATAGGTAGTTTTTCTTTTAAATTCTCAAACACAAACACAAAAACAACAACAATGCCCATATAACGAGCCTAAATTGGACATAATTGGTCTGGCATAGGACTCAGATATGGGCATGGAAAGATGTCCTTGTAATTTCAATGAGCATCTTAGGTCACAGATCATTGCTGTCAGAGAATAGAAAAAAATGGGGCACCCTTCTTAATGTAGAATGCACTCCCACATCTTATGCCTTATGCCTGTCAGGAGGATTTATGAATGGGGTAGCTTTTCAGCTAAGTTCTCTTGCTTTAAAGACTAGAATGATGGGACTATGGTGTCCAGATAGCCAACCAAAGGAGACACAGGCCTTGGGTGATGGATGAAATCATTAAATACATTAAAGCTGTCTCATCAGCTGCCTGGCTGGTTAAAGAAAATCATCTTGTTTGCAAAGTGTTTAAGTGGCTTTCTTATTAGCATACATATTGTTTCCTATTACCATTATTAAACTAATGTGGATATATTTTTTCCACAAAATATGCTTGGGAATGAGCAGCTATTTATTTATTCGGAGGCTGGTAGAAGAGTTCCTGGACTTGTCTCCAGATCCTGGTCTCCTCTCCAGCCCAGTGGAATTGTAGCAGGAAATGGAGAGGGAAGAAGAAAGAGGAAGGACTTGTAGGTAGAGTAGGGGTAGCTGAGGAAAGAAGAGAAAGAGAGAAGGGGTGATGGCAAAGTATAAAGAGAATTAGAGGGAGAAAGATACAAACACTAGAAGAAATAAAACCTAACTTTGATATATCACTTTGCAACCATGCGAAGTTTATGATCGTATTCGACACCGTGTAGTGCTTAAGGGTAAAAAGGCCAATAAAACTGGTTCTCCTGTTATTCTTGTGAGGAAATTGGAACTCTGACATACATGCAGTCCTTTTCCATGAAGCTTGACTCAGTGGAGCGAGGGGAGGGCATGATGGCCTTGCGTAGAGAAACTCAGAGTTAACACGGATCATTCTACTATATGCCAAGCACTTTGCAAACATGATTTCATTTTATCCTCACTTTGAGATGATGATGACCATTCCTGTAGCACAGGAAGACAGTTAGGCAGGACAGCAATCAACCAGTGTCGGGAGTACATGGCTAGGAAAAAGTCTAGCCCCCAACTTTGAGCCACTGGGATACCCATTTCTGGCCAATGTTATGATAGAAGTCTTATCCTCATGAATACCAGGGACATCTTGGGGAAGTAGCAGGTTCATAGAAAGATTTGAGCACAGGCTGTCAAGCACTAGCCTAGAATGTGCCATACAATGTTTGCATATCAGATGGGAGGGTGATGAGAAAAATTTACCTCCAAGGCTGCTGCCCTTTAGCTTTGAGAAATGTTCATGATGTGCTTTTCTCCAGACTTCCATTAGCTATTTTAGCTGGAACTAGAGATGGAGTCTCCTGGCTTTCAACTTCATCCAGATGCTTTCATGAAAGTAAAGAAGAAAAGGAAACAGTGAGAGGCTCACATGAAGGAAAATACAGAAGTAAAAAATAAAGTGCTAAAATGAAACACAAAGAAAACACTTTCTCTTTGTAAACTGGGCCATCTTCACTGTTGGGGCTGTTTATGGCTCTCCCTGATATCAAAATATTTTTAATATTTTTTTGGTAAAATTAATTTTGGTATTCTTCTTTGAATAGGAAATGCCACTTTTAGATATTCATTTCTTTGGACCATAAAACTTTACAGTCTAAACATAGATACTTCTGGGAGAAATACTACACAGGTGTAATCTGGAGGAGTTGGTTTATCAGCACCTTTCCCCAGAAGAGATCAAAGTGGCCTGGAAGTGGAGGGCAGACTAGAAGTATGCGGTGGCGGAGACAAGTATAGTGATAATGCAAGGAAAGGGCTACAGGGGGGTCATGTTGCCAATTTCTAAGCATCATTCCCAGGAAGTAATAGAATATTTTTGCTCTTTTGTCCCTGACTAAAGTGTGACCTCCAGTCAGTCAAAGCCCTTCAGCTCTGATGAGACTCAAAGGACAGCAGCAGAGGGTCTCAGGGAAACTGAGATGAGAAGATAAGGCAGAAGGCAGTCAAGATTGTTCATCCCTGTGAAGAGAAGGCTAAGGAGGCGGTATGTGAAGGATTGCTCTGGAGAGAGGACTGTGAAGAGATTTTATTTAAAACCATGGATCAAGGACAAAAATCAGAAATAATGGAGACCTTCGCCACTCACAGGGATGTGAATGGTAGCTGCAGAGACTTGCACCTTCTGGGGCATGGTGGATACGGGGATGGGTCCCAGCTCCGTCACATGGCTGGACACATCCCTGGGAGGGACTAGGGAAGTGGATTATATGGCCCCCAAACTTGGGGATCCATGACCCTTTGTGTACCCGGATGCTGGCCATGGCTGCTCCAGGGGTGAGTTGCCTAGAATCAGGGACTCTGTCTCTGTAGGGATCTTCAAAGAGATCAGTGACAGGCTGGCTGAGTAGAGGGGAGGGAGGGAGCCCAGGGCAGACAACATGAACTTTGCAGTCAGACCATGCTTTGCTCTGTGACTCTGAGAAGTTATAGACCTCTCTGAGAGTTTCCCCGCCTGTCAGACATGGACCAGGACAGCTCCTTCCTCACAGGGCTATGGTGAGAATAGAATGAGGTGCCTCCTGGAAGGTCTCCGTAGCACCACTACCACTGGTTATGACATTCCGATGGCATCTACAATGCTTGCTCCTCTCTGGGCTCCCAAGTCTGTGTTCAGGTCCTTCCAACCTACCTTGTCTCCACCTGTCCCTGTCACAAGTTTCTGCTGGGCTTGTAGCCATCAGGCCACTCTTCATTGGGCCCCTGAGACTGGGGGACAGTTCCGATCACCCTGGCTCAACTGCCTCCTCATCATCACATGATCTCACTCCTTTCTAGGGAGGATCCAGGGACCAGTCCTGCTCCGGGCCTCCTGATGTTTCACCCCTCTGGTGGCCTTGCCATTTTTCGGGTGACTGATCTGAATTCTTCCTGCCACTGCTGAGCACACTGAGACCAGCCCCACATCTTCCTCACTGGTGACTGGACAGGCCTCATTTAGATCAGTGTGGCCAGTGAGTGTACAGTGGCCTGGGGAAGAACAAGGATCAGGCACCTGTCCTCTTGACCTCCTTCCCACAACCCAAACCGGAAGCTTTCAGGATATACCAGATCTTCCTTTCTCTCTCCCAAAGAAGAGGGGATAGGGAAGGATGCAGACACCACCACCAGCACCACCCCTCCCCAGCTGCCCTTGCTTTTCCATTCAGGGACATATGAAAATAAAGATAAATAAATAAATAAATAAAAGACTAACCTTCCGGCCAATCGCAGTTTAGCTACCCTGCAATTAAACAAATCCACAAACCCGCAACACATATTTACATCTCATTAGCAGAAGCCAAATGCAACAACGGCATTAAAATTAAGAAATTAGGCCCAATTATCCTGTCGGCGGCAGTTGGGGGAAGTTGTCAAGGGCTGGTTTATTCATTAGTTTGCACAGAAGTTCAGCGGCTCTCTAATTGTGTGCTGCTATTTTTTACCCCCTCCTCCTCTTGCTTAAAAAAAAAATCATTTGAGGTTTTCATTTCTCCGCAGTGCAGTAGCCTGCCAATGTTAGCAAGGCCAGGCCCGGGGCAGGCCCGGGAAGGGCTCCTGTCCTATCTGCACTGTGTGTCATCAGGACCCAGCCAGGCTGAGCTACAAGTAGCTAGGAGGTTAGCAAGATCAGGTCACCTGCTCAGCTGCTGTGTCCCCACAGACTCTTCTGGATCCCTGGGGAGGCTTTAGACAGCCCAGGCTCACTGCCTTCACTGCCAGCCCTGTGGGGGAGCTGGGGTGTACTAGGCCCACTGTGTCCAGGAACACAGCATCTTCCTTCCCTTGGGCTGGCAGCGGTCACTGGACTCAGGTTCCAGGCCTGTCTCTGTTTGGCCAGAGGAGGCACTTCATGAATGTTCGTTGGGTGATGGAATGAAAATCTTGACAAAGCTCTTTACCACGGGTAAGAAGATTTATTGTGCTCTAGGCTGTGCCCAGGTGAGTGTTCTTGGGCTCCAAGGGTGCTGCAGGGTCCTGGCCAGCTTCAGAGAGAGGTTTTGACTGGTGCACCCTTCTTTCTGGAAGCTTCTGCTCAGCTCTCTTCACCTCGGTCCTTTAGCTTTGCCTGCTGGGGACTCTGTTGGCTTCCTCCCTCCTCCTGGAGAATTGGTCTGGTCTCCTCTGACCACCTGGGGCCTTAGGGAGCTATTGTTGTCCCCACCTCTCTCCAGACCCTTCTGCCTCCAGTACCAGTTACAGGGACACGGCAACCGTTTCTCAGGGGTCCACTGCCCTCTGCACTCTGCTGGGAATGGGGCCCCTTGGTTGCTATTGGCCTGTCAGGTTTTGCTGATAGGTGGTGATAGAAGAAGTAGAGCAAAAGGGAGAAGGCTTGCTCAGGTTTCTCTTCCCAGGTGGGCCCTGACATACTTCTCAGAATACTCTCCGTTCCCTGTGCTCTAGATTGGGGGTGGCAGAAGGGGCCCAGATTTGAAGTTTGGAGATCTGGTTTTATTCTTGCAGCAGCTGGAATTTCGATTTCCTGGAGCCTTACTTTTCTTAGCTGGGAAATGCCACATGTGATACATTTCCTCCCTTCCTCAGGGCCCAACTGTGAGTGTTCCACAAATATTCCAGGCTCAGATTGTTGTTGCCCAGGCTCTTGGTTCCCATGAAAGGTGTTTTTGTATTCCTCAAGGTGAGACCTTCAACAGACCAGCATTGTTCTGTCAGCAACCTGTGATCTCTGGGTGGTGTGCCCCTCCCTGTCTAAATGGAAAACTTTCACATGCTTCCAAGTGACTAAGCTATGTATTTTCGTATAGTCACCTCAAAATTCTCCCCCAAAGGGTTCAGATAAGAGATATTGTAAATAGTCTACTACTTTATTTAATATTTGTATTAAATCAGTACTTGCAAACACATACATTTCACACACAACTGGAAATGAATTATGGTAAGATATTAATCAATAAAACACTACATCTGACATTTATTTAGTGACTGTACAGGAACTACAAATATGGCTTCTCCCTCCCCACACTTCCACCCCTCACCAAGGTGTGAGCTGCCATTTTGAATGACTAATGATGAAGGAATTTTCACCACTAGCATTTTCACCTCCTGCAGCTCTACTTCTCATCTTTCTTATCTTACCAATTCATTTATTTACTTGTTCATTCATTCATCTACCTAAGATTTACTGAGCATCTACTATTTTCATACCATGGTCAAGGACAGCATTAGTCAGAGTCCATGCAGTACCTGCATTTGAAGACTTACAGGCCAGAGGCAGGCAGAGAGAATGGCAGTACAATATGGAAAGTGCTGGGATGGGGGTAAGTCCACATGTTGTTCTGGGGAGCACAGACGACAGACCTCTCTTGCCTTCTGGTGGGTCAAGGATGGCATCTAGAAGGAGAAACAGTATCAGCTGAAACCTGTCTTCTATCCATACCCTGGGAATCTGCAGGTCACACAGCCGTGCCCAGAAGCATCCATCCTGTCTCTAAGTTTGAGTATCCACTTTCTGCTTTCCTGGGGAGAGGGTTGGGGACCAACCATGACAGGGTGACAGGGATTTCTGGAATTTAATGTAATATGAGGGCAAAAGCAGAGAAGAGGAAGTTGACCCTATTCTGTGCATTAAATGTGATAACAATTGCACCATGAAAACACTTTTTCTAATTTGCTTCACCGTGGTCATGCTGTCTCATTGCACAGGACCTATGTATCAAGGATGGAAATGTCAAATTCTAGGGTAGCACTTGATATATACCTGAGACTAGTCTTTCTAATTTACATATAACAGCTCTTAAATCCTCCCAAAACACTATGAGTGAGGCCCATTATTATAATATAGCCATTTTGGAAAGAGTGAAACAAAGTCCCAGAGAGGATATTTAACTTGCCAAAGGTTATGGAGTGGTAACCTCTCCAGAGCATACACACTTCACACCATACCTGGTTCTTTGCTTCAGACTGCTACACACAGAGCAGCAGTTGCTCTTGACTTGCCATTGCCACAAAATCCCCTGGGTTTGTACTCAAGGGTACTGAGTCTTCTTCAGAGAAGAAAAGATAATTTCTTAAGGAGGAGGAGAACTAGGCAAGGGGAGGGTGGTTTCTCACCCTGACAGTGGTCTTATTCCTCCTGCACTATGACATCTTTCTCCTTGTCACGTGTGGGACATTGGGTCCACTCTAGTTACTCTTTAGTTAGATAGTTATGTCATATGATCTCCTAAAGGATGGGAACATGGTTGCTCATCTCTGTGTCTCCAGTCCCATAATGACTCAATACATTTCAATATTTGCAATGAATTATCTCAGGTGGAATTTTAAAAAGGAGACCAGAGACTCCTCATACAATGCTTAAATGTCCTTTCTAGCCCATTATAAATAGAGTGGGGTTGCCACTGCCTTGATAAGGATTGAAC